GTTGAGAGTGTGATTTAAAAACTCAGAAAAAACCCCGATTTATGCCAGTTTTTTTTTTTTTTTTTTTTTTTTAGAAATCACAGTCTTGGTTTTTAATATTCTCTCTTTCTTGCTTCTTATAAATAGCTTCTGTTATATAAAGTGGTTGCTGGGGTGAAGTAGTTGGTTGTTAGGTGGTTGCTAGGATGTTGTGGGTGGTTGCAGGGTTTTTTGTCATGTTGCTAGTGTTTTGAGTGGTGTTGAGGCTGTTTCTGGAGGTTTGGTGTGGTTTTCTAGGGTATGAGTGGTTGTTAGCATTTGTGGTGGTTGCTAGGGTTTTGGGGTGGTTGCTGGAGGTTTTGTGTGGTTTTCTAGGATTTTAGGTCATTGCTAGGATGACTGGAGTTGTTCTTAGGTGGTTGCGGGTGGTTGTTAGCAGTTGTGGTGGTTGCTAGGGTTTTGGGGTGGTTGCTGGAGGTTTGGTGTGGTTTTCTAGGATTTGAGGTCATTGCTAGGATGACTTGAGTTGTTGTTAGGTGGTTGCGGGTGGTTGTTAGCATTTATGTTGTTTGTAGGGTGTTGTGAGTGATTTCTATGGTCTTTAGGGTGGTTGCTTAGGTGTTTGGTTGCTAAAGGTTTGAGGTGGTTTTCTAGGGTCTGAGGTGGTTGCTAGGGTGTCTTGAATGATTGTTAGGTGGTTGCGGGTGGTTGTAAGCATTTGGGATTGTTGCTAGAGTGTTGTGAGTGGTTACTAGGGTAGTTACTTAGGCATTTGGGGTGGTTGCCAAGGTGTTTAGGTAGTTGCTAGGGTTTGGGGTTGTAGCTAGGGAGTTTGGGGTGGGTTTCTTGGATTTAATGTGGTTGCTAGGGTGTCTGGAGTGGTCATTAGGTGGTTGCGGGTAGTTGTTAGCGTTTGGGGTTGTTGCTAGGGTGTTGTGAGTGGTTACTAGGGTTTTAGGGTGGTTGCTTAGGTGTTTGGGTGGTTGCTAAGGTGTTTAGGTAGTTGCTAGGGTTTTGGGGTTGTTGCTAGGGAGTTTGGGGTGGTTGCTAAGGTGTTTAGGTTGTTGCTAGGGTTTTGGGGTTCTTGCTAGGGAATTTGGGGTGGTTTTCTTGGATTTGAGGTGGTTCCTATGGTGTCTGGAAGGGTTGTTATGTGGTTGCGGGTAGTTGTTAGCATTTGGGGTTGTTGCTATGATGTTTTTAATGGTTTCTAGAGTTTTTAGGGTGGTTTTAAGGTTTGGGGTGGTTGCTAGAGCTTTTGGCTTATTGCTAAAGTGTTTTGGGTTGTGTTGAGGCTGTTGTGGGTGGTTTCTGGAGGTTTAGTCTGGTTTTCTAGGGTATGGGGTGGTTGCTTTGGTGTTTAGGGTGGTTGCTAAGGTGCTTGGGTAGTTGGCAGGGTTTTGGTGTAGTTGCTTTGTGGTTTTCTAGGGTTTGGAGTGGTTGCTAAGGTGTTTGGGTGGTTTCTAGGTGGTTTCTTGGGTTTTGGAGTGGTTACTAGGTGGTGTTGTGGGAGGTAGGTTACTGATTTCAGTCCAGTCAAATTAGACTTTTTTTTCTATTCTGATCAGTAGATATAGCTTCAGTATAAGTCTGTGGAATTTCTTTTTAGCCCATTTTATCGTCCATCAGGTGAAAGTTGTAAGTCTGATCACATAGACTACCAGCACACCTCTCACTTGATTTGAGGAATCATTCATGTCCAATTGCACAAGCATTGTGGGAAGAGTTATGTGCCGAAGTTTAATACTTGGGGTTTGTAGGTTAACTTTCCAGCATTTAACCGGATAGTTCATCCAAAAATAAACATTCTATCATCTTGTCCTTCCAAAATATCTTCTTTTCAGTTCTGCTAAAGAAAGTCAAAAAGGCAAACAGGTTTGAAATGTAAATCATTACAGAATTTTCATTTTTTGGTTGAACTATCCCTTCAAATATGGGTGATAGTAGTGCTAATATTTTTATTTCAAATATGTGCTGTTCTTTTGAATTTTCTTTTTGTCAAAGCATCCTAAAATATGTATATCATAGTTTTCATAAAAATATGAAGCATCTCAACTCTGTCAACAATGATAATAATAAATGTTGCCTGAGCAGCAAATCAGCATATTAGAAGGATTTCTGAAGGATCATGTGACACCGAAGAGCTTACTCAATATGTGAAACAGGCCTAACTCTCTCTGTTTTTCGCTTGATTCTTTAGATCTGTGTCTCTGTTAAACCTGCCGGTGAGTCTGCGTCCTCATAAGGTGAAAGGCCTTCTGGGACAGGGCATGTCCAGCGCCAGCCCATTCATCTACTCTCCAATCACAATGCACAGTCGAGGAGACGAGCGCTCGAAGAAAATCGGTGAGTTGTTTTTCTTCCCAGATCTCTCTTAAACTTCCTCTGTGTGAGTTATTGTTTTCTCTGAGACTTTAATTACGGTATATTAGCATGATCTTTGAGTTTTCACCTCACACACTGTTTATGTAGGCTGGTATTGCTCTGATGGGCTTCGGTAGCGATCTTAATTACTGTTAAAAGATTCTAAACTAAACGCACACCATTGTGCTTCCACGTGGTCTGTTTGATTCATGTTTATGACAGGTGCTGTCATTAAGTTGTCTCTTTCCCTGCTGGCAGTCGGAGGCGGCTGGAAGGAGTTGAAGTGTTTTCTGGATCTCTTAAGCAGCATCACACGGCACAGGCTCTATTATTTATGGACTTATTAAGGCAAATAGCAGAACACATTGCCACATTAAAAATACTATGCCAGTGTAGTTGTTTAAAAATTCAAACCATGGTGACTAGCTGGTACTGTGACAGTATTACAAGCTAAAACTGTGGTGCTTTGATACAGTATATACCATAGTATTTAATACCATAGTTCTCAAATGAATGTTCGATGAAATATACCATGGTATATAAATATCATAATCAAACAGCATCATGATATACATCAAAGAGTCGTGGTAGAGTGGTGGTAATACTGTGGTATTTGCAATGTTTTGATTATATTCATATACCATGGGATTTAGATAGTACTTCATAATTCTTTGATATATAAACCGGCTTAAATGTTTTGAAATCACTTATACCCTACCTGATCAAAAAAATCCAGTCTTTCACTCTGCCTGTGTCAATTTGAGTCTTGCTAAAGATTTAAATCCTTGCTGCCAAGATGCTTCTCTGTCGGTCACGGATTATGGAAAGTGAAACTTAAATCTATAGGAGTGCTTGGATTTATTCACGCTCATTAAAAATATTTATTAAAAGCTTCTTTCTTTTCAGATTCTTATTTACAGCATTAAATAAATAGACTGTATATTAACTTATTGGGAGACAACCATTAGTTCTATGTGAAATCAGACATTGAGCACCCCCATATAGCCAAATGGCATGATCATAACACCTCAGCGAATATTCGACTGTGCGATTGGTAGTCGAATCAGGCTCCTCCTATCGAAGCATTGCATCTTCGACTATTCGGGGTCACCCCTAATATAAATACATAATCAATCACAGTTTCATATCATATTTACATGGTATTCCAAGCATCTTCTAGTAGTTTATAGTAGTTGCTTTTGGTACTGGTTTGTAAGTGTGGTACTTTAAGGTACTTCAAGGAATGCCATGAAATACTGTGGTATTTGAATATAATTATCATACCGTGCCATGGTGTATATTAAAGTATCATAGTACAGTGCTGGAATTACTATAGTACTTTTGATATTTAGGTTTTATAATATTCCTATACCATGCAATTTTCATGTAGTACCTGTGATAGTTTGATATACATCATAGTGTTTAAATGGTATTTGCAATGGTACTCCAGTAATTTCATGGTACTTTTTGCTGCTTGTTTTTAGTTGTGCTACTCTGAGGTACTTCAACAAATACAATGGTATTTGAATATTATAACTGGATATATCAAAATTATGTGGTACAGCAAGTTTATCAGATGGTAATACTGTGGTTCTTTGAGAAATACCATAGTACAGTTCGATTTTTGTATTTATATTCAATGGTATTTTTTGAAGTACCGACTAAATACTATCTTAAATGAATACCATGAAATGTATCAAAGTATCATGTTACGGTACTGTATAGTTATGGTATTATTTTTCGAAATGGTAAGTAAAACAGATCACTGATGTACAAGAAAATACCATTTCATTTTCTATACTGTGTATATTTACATTTTTAAATGTAAATTTTTACATTGTGAAATTTACCTGCAATATCTGAGTGAAAACTGTTTCTATACCATTTTTTTTTCCCAGTGTAATTTTAACATTATATTTGCCTGGCAGGTTATAAAAATGGTGAAAAAATCTTTACATTAGATATGACTTGGCTCCCTTTCTGTTTTCAGTGGCGATGCTCTGCAAATGTGAATGACTCTTATGAGCTGTTTCTTTAATGATCCGTTCAGAAAGATTCTCAAGATATCAGTTTGAATCAGTCTGATGAACGCTTTACTGAATGAACTCATTGAATCAATGTGACTCACTCACTCCAAGTTTTTATTGTGTTCAGTGATGAACGTATCAAAATGAAGCATGTTTTGTGTACGTAAATGGATTCATTCGCCCAAAAATAAAACTTGTCATCATTTATTTTTTGGTCCATATAATAAAAGGATATTATAGTTTTTCTAAATATATTTCAATATAAGTCATACAGGTTTGGATCAACACAAGGGCAAGTAAATGATGACAGAATATTTATTTTTGGCTGAATTATCCCATTAAGGTTCTGAAACTTCAATTAGAATTATTAATGGATATCGTTCTTGTGAAAATGTGTTAAAGATATGTATTTGAGTGTTTATCTTTGTAATAAATACCACAGATTGGACATGTTACTCTCCAGAAAGTCTGTTTAGAGACTTTCCACATCCGAGAGAGTGATGACACACCTGATATCTGTGTCCAATAACCATTTATTTGCACACCCGTCTAGTAATCACCAAAGGCCTTCACCTCGCAGTCGCTCTCATATTCCTCCAACACTGTCTCAAATCCACGAAATCCCGTTTTCCTCATTTAGCAATTTCAATTATTCATTCCCTTCTTGCTTAACGGCTCCCACGCACTTTGCGATGTCAAACGTGGCTTGTAAACGAGCCGCATTATACAATCCTCCTTCTTGTTTGATTGGTACAAGCCCGCTTAATAATTTCCCAGAATGCCACAGGCAGGAGGAGGATGTGTCACGCCTGTCTCGAGGTAAGCCGAGCACCCAAGGCTAACGTCTCGGAGTCGCGCACATTCCCTGACAGAAAAATCTTTGGGCCGATGAAAAATGTCACTTGTTTGTTGTTTTGCCGTCAAGGCTCTATTGGTTTGAATATTTTATGTGGCGATGACGCGCCACACTAAATTTGGCCAGGCTGCATGTAATGAGCACCCAGGTAAACACTCCTCCGTTTGATTTGAGAACTGAAAAGAACGTTTGCATTGATTTTGGATTGTGTGTCTGTTTCTAACCCTGTGGTGTTGGTATGTAAGCTAGTTAGTGCGTGTTTGTGCCAAATCAACTAGGCTAGATGGTGTTTTCTTTGCTGTTCTGTTGCGCTCTTATTCTTGCCAGAAAGCAGTCTGACTCACTCACACACACACACACACACACACACCCCAGATGTCTCTGGAGAGAAGACCTTTATCAAAGCGAACAGCCTCCACAAACACACACACACAGGCAGGGCACACACACACACACACACACACACACACACACACCCCAGATGTCTCTGGAGAGAAGACCTTTATCAAAGCGAACAGCCTCCACAAACACACACACACAGGCAGGGATTGCGTGAGGTACATTTAGTCGTGCATTAACTAAATCAACAAGGTATATGTGCATAATTGTATTTGACTGATGAGAGTGAAGTAGGAAACGTTTTTGAAGCGTTTGTATATAACCTAATTATTTTGAGAAGTTATATTTTGTGTGCAGCTTGAATAGGGATGAGGGAAATCACAAATAAATGATCTGGTTCCATTAATGATCCGAGAAGAAATATTGGGAAGAAATGCAACTCCTTTGCCAAAATATGAGATAATTTTGATTAAGCAGTTCTTGTTGAAAGTGCAGACACTTTTTAATGACTTTTCATTGTCTTAGGGGTGGAATAATTCAATAATTGGCCTGCTGTGGAACACAAAATAAGATACTTTGAAAACGATTTTTCCATATAATAAAAGTCGATAGGCATGTAATGCCATTTTGGGCTTCTTTTTGATTCAATAAAACCTGGTCTATCAGAATACGTTTTAATTTTTTTTTTATATTGATTCCATTAAAAGAACCAGCCCATAAGACTCTTTTGTTCATGAATGTTTTTGATTTGCTAAAAAACTGACGCATAAGAATCATTTGATCTGTAGCATTTTAAATTCACTAAAAAGAACCAGCTTACAGTAAAGTAATCTTTAGTTTGGGAATCAGAAATGTCTTTGATTCACTAAAATGAACCAGTTATACGAATCATTCATTCTAAAATGTTTTCTAATAACAAAAAAGAATCCATTCATAAGAATCATTTGTTTCAAGAATTTGGAACGTTTTAGATTCGTTAAAAAGAATAGGCTTAGAAGAAGAATTTGTTCTGGTGTCTGGAATATTTTTGATTAACTGAAAAGAACCGGCTCATGAGATTCATTCATTCTGGAATGTTTTTAAATTAGCAAAGAGAATTGGCTCATAAAAGTCTCTTCTTCAGATTTTTTTTTTAATTCGCTTAAAAAAACTGGTGTATGAGAATCATTTGTTCGGGTATCTGGAATGTTTTTGATTCACTAAAAAGAACCAGCTCATGAGATTCACTCATTCCGAAATGCTTTTAAATTATTAAAATGAATTGGCTCATAAAAGTCTCTTCTTCAGGAATGTTTTTATTCACTTAAATGGGGGTTGGGGGCTGGAAGGTATTGGTTGATGTTTATATGATGCTGTAGATTCAGTTGTGCGATGCTTATTTAGTGTGCTTTACAATCCTGGCTCTGCAAAAAAGAAATCCTACTCATATCCCAGTGGTCCTTCTTGTACTACAGTACATTTATTTTCTTGCAGCGTTTAAACTCTAAACTCTGTTTACACACCTGTGATTCAATCTTTCGGACAGCCCACAGCTTTTTGGAGTGAAGCCATGGGTTCAGCCCAACACGAATCTCACACCTTGATCCAAATACAATTTCAGGAAGTTTCATTGGAATATTCTCAAGCTTTGTCTCTCTAGTGCTTTCCATTTTAGAAAGTTTGACAGCCACCCTCACAAAAGCTGAAAGCTTCCGTAAATTTTCAGGCGTCTTGGTTCTCTGGACAGAACCGAGAGTGAATTGTCAGCACTGAGGGGCATT